AAGATATTGCATGTATGGAATTTGTTGCACTTCTAACTTTTGCGAATCTGAGTAGAGACTCAATTCTTACTTTCTTTGTATTTTATTCAGTTATTTACTGAATATATTTGCAATGCTAACATAACTTTATACTACTAGGTTGTATGATATTAAACACAAATTATAAAGCACTTAGTTTTGTTTATATCATTAAATGCTTATATATTCTAAAATGAATTTAACAGTATCACTTAGAAAAAAATACATGTAATCGTGCAACGTACGATGCAGGACTAGTCTATAATAAATAGTAGATTATATCTTGCTAAATTAAAAAGATATTTATAATATACAAAAAATTATTAGAATTTGCAGAATAAAAACAAGAAATTGAAGAATTTATTAATTTATTAGAGCAAAGAATGAATTTGTACACAAGAGAATGATATGTCTTGCAATAAATGAAAACTCATATTATTAAGGGTAATATAAACTTTTTAACCGATTTATAAAAAGTCTAGTCAACCAGGCCAATCATAATATTGCCCCAGGAAAATAATAATAAAAATATTAATTAAGTCAGACCCCATTGTTTCTACCATATAATCCTCATAGATATCTTTCCAACAACGCATGTAATGCATATCCAACAAGAATTATTATTTTTTTGATAACCGTGAATATCCGGATCAGCTTGCTCGCACCTCATCTAATCCCATGGAATCCTGAAGTTTACGGTCGGTACTCACCTCAATGGCCTTGAGGGGACTCGAACTGGTATCCCACCAGAATTATAGGAGCAGCAATGTAGCCGTCCATACAAAGGGATGGTTTTGCAACAGATTATTCATCCATTATTTCACTGCCCACCTCTCAATTTATCCTAAAATTAGAGCAGGCCGCTAAAAAATGGTTGACCTTTAATTCTTGCACACCAAGTGTTTGATTCAATGCCCTCATTTTTCATTTGCACTTCTTTGTCTACAGTCTCGTCTTTATTCTTTTTCCTTTAATCCAATATAGAACAAGATCAGTGAATTATATCTGGTTTTAGTTATCGTGATACATCTTGATTTCTGTATCTTCAATATTGGAATTGCAGGAAGAGGAGGATGGGAACTGTGGCATCTCCTTCAGATGATCGATCAAAGATTGTAATGGGGTACCCCCCAATGAATAGGTACCCTCAACCAGATCTTGCATATCATCATCATAAAGGTTATGAAAATTCTGTTAATCCAAATCATTATCCCCAATCATTTGATGGATACTATTATCAGCAAACCTATGCGCCGTTGGTCCCCGAACCAAGTAGGACTACTTCGGTTGGTCGTGCAATGATCTCCTTGTTGGTTTTTTTGACACTTGGAATGTGCATGTTGAGCATAGTCATTTTCCTCCTGTTTGGTACAGACAACCCAGATTTCCACCTTGTGTCATTGACCGTGCCGAATTTTAACGTGACTAACACGTCCTTATTAGCCACCTGGTATGCCAATATTACTGTCACGAATAAAAACGAGGCTTTCAAGGTTCATTTTCTGCATGTTGTATCTTCAGTCTTCTACGAAGAGGATATGTTGGGAATCTCTCCTTTGCAGCCTTTTCAAGTACATACAAGAGAGACACTTGGTATGAGTTTCCGTGTGACAACAGATCCATTGAATCAAGAAAAATTGCACAACGGGGTGTTCCCAAGTATTGTTCAGGATCGAAGCACTGGCATCGTCTTTTTTAGCTTGAGACTGTCTTTGAAGGCTGAGTATAAGTCTAGTTCTCTTTGGAAAAAGGCAAGTTTGAAAGTTAACTGCAAAAATTTGCAAGTTAGCTTTTCGCCAACTGGAGAAGGAAAATTGACAGAAGATTTTCTCAATGAATGCGTACTTTTTTCACAATAGCCTGGTAAGAGTGATGATCTATTAATATTCAAGATGTGGCATGCATTGGATTTACAATCGTTAGGTTCTAAAGTCATTCTTTTTTATATTATATAAGAACTTAATGCAGAATGAGCATTCTGTTTTCACTTTCCTTGATGCTTTCAATGCAGGTTTAGTATCTTGAATATGATTGAATGCGATTAACGAACATAACGTGTCAAGTATATGTCTGTAAACCTGTCCAATAATGTCTGGTCCTTGTTGTAAATATACTTTACCTAACCTATATATGCCATTCTGTTTTCGCAGGTCCAACGCCAAGAACTAGCTAGGAAACGGCAAAAGTATAAAGCCCGAGAATCATAGTATACTTGGACTAATATGTTTTTTTGAATATGATCTATCCATCGTATCATTTTCGCTGTCATCATGCCTTCTAAGTCGTCATCATTTCTTGTCATACAAATTTTCATATAATCTCTTCACTCTGAACTCATTCCTCTGAGAGGCGATGGATGATAATTATGGTTGCTGTAGGCAGCATTTAGTCTGAAGACCCTGACCACACCCGCAGAGTGGCTTCTGATTTGCAAGTTGATGTAGTCATCGAGGCTTCACGGCTGCAAAATTTAAGTTTTCACCATAGATCAATCCAATCTTTCTTGTACCTATGTTCTCTGGCTTTAAGTATGTAAATGAAACGATGTACCATGGTGAGACCTCTTGGGGGCGACAAACATCTCCCGAGAGGTGTTGTCAATAACCTGCAGAGGTTTTAATGTAGAAGAAATCCTAGAATTACAGCAAAGAGAGAGCCATATTGAACTTCTTCCCCTCCCTTTTTTGGTGTGTTTGCCTTAGTTTTTTTAGTTTTTAAGAAATAATTTCTCTTATTTTCTTTCTGATTCACTATTAGCATGTTAAATATGAGCAGAAAATTTGGATTGATGGCTCCATGAATATCGAAAGTACAGTCATGAGATATGGAGCACGAGAAAGAGTGAGAATCAAGGAGTACATAAAATGTGGATTTTCTAGGTAGCACGCTTTAGGCTTAACCTCATGTCCATCACTACTTGAAAGATGTTGTGTTGTGGACGTAACAATCTATCGAATATTAACATTGCGAATACGAAAAAAAAAATTGTTTTCAAATGATGGAAGGAAGAAAATGACTTTTTTTTGCGTCATTCTACTATAATATGTAATTTTGGATCCCTATTGGTATGGGATCCTTTTCTTTCATTTTCCATGTCTTCTTTTTGCCCCTCTTTCAACTTCATACTTTTTGTTGCAATAATTTATCACCACNNTTTTGTTGCAATAATTTATCACCACTTGCTTCCTTTCACCTTTTTTTGTTTTGAGCTCTTTTTTTTTTAATTATTAAAAAACTTCAATTTTATACTATTAATTTTTTTTGAAGAATGTGGAATTAAAAAGTACGGAAACTATTTGAGTTTATGTGTAAAATTATTTTAATGAAAAAAATGTATGATTAAAAATGAATTTGTCGAAAATAAGTTTCGAAAGAATAGGCTCAAGGGAGGCTTAATTTTTTATTATAAAGAAAAAGTAGACATTCACAAAAAATTATTAATTATTTCCAAAATTAATTACTTGGAGGTCATAGGTTGCTCAAACTCCAAGGATGATTTTGTAGGGACAATTTTAGGCACAGTAACAAAAGAATCAGTTCTCATGTCAGAAGCCCTGTTGGGGATCTGGTGAAGTGGTGAAT